ACTGAGTCGACCTCGGAGCGGTTCAGATGATTGTCAACGATGTTGGACGCGAGCGGGAACCGAACTCGGGTTCGGAGCGCAGCGCACTAACCGCTACACCACCGCTCCCCACATCCCACACGCCGCACCACCCCCCTGGTGCGTCCTCGCTAACAGCGCTTTGCCCCCAACAGCCAGTGGCATCCGATATGCGAGCGATTGAGTGTCTCTGCGCGACCGTGTCGCAGACAGGCACACACGAGGCCGGGGTTCATCGGCACGCTTGGCGTAGCCGCACGTAACCCCTCCACGTGAACCTCTTCGATGTTTACAGCAGCAGTAGCAGCAGCATCATTGCGACACTATAGCACTAGCAGTGGTGCACACGCACAACAACAACAACATTAAACTCAACAACGTCGTCGATAACACTGCCCGAAAGAGTAAATAGCATTTAATTGGCGACGTTTTGGGTAATTGTGCTATGTAAAAAAAGGACCATGTCCCGAAACGTCGCTTGTCTGATAGTTTCCTCTTTCGGACAGCGTTATTGAGGAATGTGCTGAGTTGTTTGGTTTGAAGTGCACACTTTCTCGTCTGACCCACACTTATAAGATGTATAATAATGATCTAAATTACTGATATATATTCTATTAGCACGTCGTTTGTTCTTATGTGATTTAAAGAGAGAAAAAACATGTTTGACATCTATCGTGTTGTTGGGGCGGAGCGGTGACGCAGCGATTAGCGTGCTGCGCTGTATAAATCCGGCCACCTGCATTCAATTTCCGGCGACGACTAACATCAGCGGTGGGTGATATGCCAACTACCCTCATCCCCCCATCCCCCCATCACCGACCGGCACTGACCAGTTTGGTGAAGTATGGTCAAACAAACCCCACGATCTGCACGGCGTGGAAAGAAGCCTTCGTCCGGCGGTGGCTTGACGAAGCTCTGCAGCGTAAACTTGTAACATCCCAGTTGCTATATTGCAGATACGTGTTCCTGGATCGCAGATATAATCATAAGGACAACACATTTCGATGGAAAATCGCAATGGACGGTGTGGTTGAATAATGGATATCCTTTATTGCACAAAGTGAAATCCTCTGCGGGGGTTTCATCGTATCTCTTAAGAGAGACCAGGGCCAGTTACAAAGGTTAAATTTGCATATGAGTATAATCATTGTGTAATCTGTTTAACCGAGTAAAGCCTCATCGAGTCTCAAGACTTGCTCAGGTGCGGTCCTGCTACACTCGGAACGTTTGGCCAATTCCACTTTCGATGGTTATTTCGCTACACGTGAGAGCAACAAAAAAAAAACGACGGGAATACCCCGAGAAAAACCCCACCACGCATACGAGCAACTAACGAGACGGGTTTCATGAACCCACGTACCTGTTGTACTGCCATCTCCAAGCCAACACCTCTGCGCGTTAGCCGCCATACAATTGGCTCCAAATTCGCTGGATGGATTTCACCCACCACGCCGGAGACAATTGTAAAGGCTGATTTACGAGCGAGAGGACTTTAAAAAAAAAAAACGCCTTTGAGACGCGGACGGTTACGGCGAGAAACGGAAAAGCGTTCAGCCGGCGTCACAATAAGAATGAGAGATTGCGATGAGGAGTGGCTCCTGGGAGCGGGAATGACTGATAATTATTGGTGAGCTGGGAGGTGGCATGTGCACGTCCTAAGAGGGTTTGGGGTTTATAGTTGTGAGATGAGTCTGCTAGCGGGAAGTGGAACGAGATGGATAGGTTTGTTTGGGAGACATTGTTGTGAGCGGATGGATGCAAAGGGTGGAAAGCGTCTGTCGTGGGCGTCAAACCTTCAGTGATCATGCTGACACCAGGTTGACTTTTAGATGTGCAACTTGGGTCACGAGACAATGATCTACGGCAGTGGATCTTAACATTTCCTGCAGCCCTTTGGTTCTCGATCGTAAAAAAAATGTATAATGTTAATAAATAAGTAGTAGGTTTGATGAATAAAAGTAGTTCTACTTACGTGCACGTTCTCAATTTGTGTTTTCGGTTATTTACCTTCCGAAAAATTCTGGCTACGTGTCGCACCCCCAGGGCGCAAGTCCACCCCAGGTGAAGAAGAACCACTGCCCTACGCAACGGCGCACAAACTCAACGCAACAATGGAATCGACCACGTGTCTGGGAGGCTCAACCGGGACACTGCCACACGCACCGACCCCCCCACTCCACCACCACCTCTAGCCTCGCACGCACAGTGAGCGGCCTCGCTTTCTCAACACATTCGTTAACAGCACTACCTTAACAAAAAATCTAGACAATGTGCGACGTTTCGGGTTACGGCCAGAATGTGTTCATCGCTTTTTTATGACCTTGACCCCACCCACCACCTCAGGTAGCCTCGCCACTTTGCCCTGATCGCGAGTGAAGCGTTCAGCCAGAACGGTTGGAGCATTTTAAATCGAAGACGCACGCACAAATGTCTTGGGAATGCCCCATGCCAAATCGGGGACATTTGGTGGCTTCACGAACATTTACGGTGCACCTTGGTGTCACGCTGCTCCAGGCTCCAACTCTCAAGCGCGGAAGTTAAATGGGGACGACGCCAGTGCCACATTTCAGCGTCAGTCACCTCTCGTGAGCGTGTGTGGTCCTCTGTGCCCGAGCTTTCACGTGGGATTGCAACGACAAGAAAAACACCGGTGAACTTGGAGTGACCCACGGGGCCTGTGGTCGGGATGGGGACGTCTCAAGTTTGATTTCTCCACCCCTGCATGTGCACACGTACAAGTACAGAATATAAATGTATGTGTGGGGTGGTGCGAAAGTGTAGTGGTTTGCGCTAGGTCGGCTCATCATCAAATGAGTGCCCTGCCTAGTGCGGTGTGCAAACATCGCCACTAGGTAGACAAAGGCGGCCGGGCGTGGTGCTGGCCACCAACCCCCTCGTGTGCCATTCCGGCCTTCATAGGTTCTCACGAACAGCACTTGTCCCCACAGGCTACACGGGAGGTCTTTGGTGGCACAGTGGTTCGCTGGTTCGCTCACTAGGAACTCGGCCACCTCACTTCGATTCCTGGCCTTCCGACGCAAGTATTGACCATACTTCACCATGCGGGTCAGTGCGGGTAGGTGAAGGCTGGTTCCGACATCACTCGCCACGGACGTTAGCAGTGGTCGGGAATCGAACTCAGGTGGTAGCTGCCTTCAAAGTGCTCACTGCTGCAGACTACTCCAGTTGGTAACAAATATTGCGAGGGGCCAACTGTCAATCATCATATTCTTGGTTCTTTCGGTAAAGTCACGTAGATAAAAAAAAATGAGAATTAAAAATAATACAATTATTTTATTATTGTATTAAATAGTTTTTTAATTTTCAATTTATTATTAGAATTTTTAATTTTTAACTTGTAATTTATTTTATTTTTATTTTCTATCGACTTGACTTTTCCGAAAGAACCAAGAATATGAATTCCTGCAGTCACGAAAGTTTCAAGTCAAAATGTCAATCATTAATCATATTGTCTATTAGCACGGTTGGCTACGTACGGTGCGAAAGAAGTTCAACATACATGCATGCTTGAGTCCATACCTGTCACTCCCTAACAGCTTCTATGCGGCGTTAATGCACTCGTGGACATGGGGATTGCTGTAACGAAACGCAACGACGCGTGCCGATCTGGCTCAAGCTGTGCCGGGTCTCGCTGAGTCACCAACCGGATCCCCATGGGAGGTGAGAGCGGGGGGGGGGGGTTGGCCCGTCAATCATCGGCCTCAACTCGTGCCAACTCGTCCACCGCAACGTTTCGCCCCAAATAGCGATTCGGTAGCAGAAAATAAATATATATGTCACGACCCGGCTTTCTGGATTTCATCCCGGAATCGTTTGTGTTTATTCGTGGCGCATTGGAGCGCCTCTTAGTGGCTGTCGGGGTCACGCGGTATGTAGATTACAGAGGAATATCAAGTAGCCGGTTCCCACGCGTGCGACTGGCAACACGCATCGTGGGCGTATGGGTAGATTGTAATCGATCGATTCATTGATGCAGCGTGACACCACTTTGTATGAGCGCCCCTTTGCTTTACCCAGGAAATAACTTACTGAGTCTCGTGAATATTTTTTGTCGGAGGATCCTGCCAAGTTTTAGTTTTTTTCTTTCTTTCCAGATTTGCTATGCGCATTGCAATTGAGCACATTTGCGTACCGTGACGCCGGCATACATTGGCCTAGTCTTGGCGAATGATGCCACGGGATCATTGAATAACGTCCACTGTGAAACAGACCGGTGCCGTATCTACGAACCGTTCGTAAATCCACCGCGAGCGTAATGACCAGGGCGGGCCGCTGGTTTCGAACTGTGTCACGGGTGCCACAAGCGGTGACCGCAGCTACTGGCCGGGCCACGGCAAACGTGCCAAAGTCGTTGAACCGACAGCGCTCACGACAAACGCGCGCCCTGACGGCACGGGGGAGCGAGGCCTCCGTACCCAGCCAGTGGATTAGCAGGCGGTGCAGCTGTACCGGGGGACTCAGGGGCCGGACGAGCCCAGGGCAATGATGGGGGGTGGGGGGGTAGCGGAGAAGGGCGAGAGGGGGTGGGTGGTTGGGTGGGGGCAGATTGGGTGGCAGAGAGGCCCATGTTATTCATGGCGCATCAGGACACGTGCCAACTCCGCTGTGCCACTCACGGCCCGTGAAGTAGCGATTTTCCCCTGAACGGTGTTAAACGATGGCGATGCGTGGTGTAACGATGCATCGATTAATAGATTGGATTCGGTTCCTATAGCCCGCGATTTTTTGCCACCTATAAAAATCGATGGATTTCAATTTTAATTTCGTGGCGTTCAACGGTATCCTTCTACAACCTCCAGATGCCGCTATATTCATAATACATTAATTACTGTAATGCGTATATCTAACACGTATATTATTTAATGGAATCCCGTTGCCGATATCGTGGTAATTCATCGAATCGCGTCGGAGCAAACTCCACGGGTCGTCTTCGCACTGTTGGCGGGGTTTGCCACCATTATTTGGTGGTTGGGGGCAAGCGCCAGATGGGGGTGTTTATTCGCCAAAAATCTCTCGTGGAAAGGGAACATTGGCCAACGCGATAACCGGATCTCGAACTCCCACGGGAAGGAATTATCGCTGTCGAGCCGCGCGAGTATTAAGGAGTTCTTTCCCAAGGGAATTATTTGTCAATAATCGGCGCACGGAGACCTGCGGGCGGTGGCAGGAGATTAGAGCCGCATGGAAGGATCCCTGCGCGGAGGCAATCGGCTGGAAAATCGCGACGCCAGTTCCTCGAGTTGGCAGAGCGACTCCGGACGCCGATAACACGTTGGGTCATGCAAATTGTTCAAGAATCGATGACCTCTGATGCAATGGTGGTGGTGGTGGTTGTTGTTGTTGTTGTAATCTGCGCCGAGGTTGTTAATTCAGTAGCCGGTAAGTTACGTGGAGGCATGGCGACCACGGAGTGCGGGGTTAAAGTGAAGGCTCACGTGAACGTCAAAGACCTCTAAAGTACCCGAGTGACGTCATCGCTCACGAGAGCGGGTCCGGTGTCTATCGGAGAAACGGCAAACACGAAACCTCGTTTGTGAAAACCAGTGACAACTACGGTCACCCGAGTCGACGTCGCGAAACAACGACAACAACAACAACATAAATCAAGACGCCCATCTCAGTGTACCCTCGCCTCGTTAGACAATTCACGAATGAACGTCTCGTCGCTTGGATGATAATTTGAATGCCCACGTGCGGGGCGGTGGTAATCGAGGTCCCGTCCTACAGGAGAACAGAGTTCACTCGTTCGTTACACAATTCCACCACCTTGGCATTGCACGGAGGTCGCCTGGAAGAGCCGGCAAATGTCGGCTGAGTTTAATCTTGTTGTCCACTCGTACCCATGGGACTGCCCGCGTGCGTGCGTGCGCGTGCGACGGTGTTATTGTGTCTGCGTGACCGTGTGTGCATGGTTACAATAACTGTAGGTGGGGAGTGGTCGCGAAAGCGGTTCGATTCTCGCTCACGGCCAACACCGGTGAAGACTATCTCAACAGGTCCTGGGTCTCTCCTAGGTCGACTCAGCCTCAAATGTCTAATGAGATGAAGGCGGCAGGGCGTGGTGACGGCCACCCACCCCCTCGTGTTCCATGCCGGCCTTCAGAGGTGCTCGTTAACAGCACTCGCCCCTACAACCTGTCAAGGCTTTGTCTTTGCGTGCCTTTGTGTGTCTTTGTGCGACTGCGTCTGTCCGTCCGGTACGTTTTCTAGACAGCACTGACGAATTCGTTTTTCCGAAATGTAACGATCCCATGGGAGTGTAACAGCTAAACGGGGTCTAACGGCAAATCCAACTCTGGCACTTGTTGATATAAATAAAGGATGTCCATAATTCTTACATCAAGCTGAGCGGGATTTGGCCTTTCTCCATCCGCTGCTGGATGAAGCGCTCTCAACGAACGGGCGTTGTTTGACCCACGCTTATTCACGCCGCTCTGTGGATGGAATGGGAGGCTGGTCGGGTGGGGTCGCGGCTCGACACGGATTTTACCCCCCTCCCCCCCATCGCTGGGAATGGAGCTCAGGTGGATGGGGTCCAACGTGAGGTGCGCTGACCGCGACTCGACCGCGACTCCGCGATGCTGTCGTCCAAACGGACGGGTGGACGCACGGACGGATCAAAGACCCTGGCCGGGTCGTGAGGAATGGGAGGAAGGGGAGCTGAGCAAGTTCATAAAGGCCCTGACTGATCAAACCCCACATGCCACTGAACAGCTGGTATATTCAGTGCAGCAATTCCTCGACTATATGGCTTCCATACATGACCCCCCCCCCCCACACAGAATAGTAAAACGTAATCATACAAATACAGTACAAAATTAAACCACGGACGCCTTTGCAATCTTTCACCGCGTACCGGTGAGGAGGAGGGGGTGGTGGGGGAGGGTGCCGTGGGGAAGGGAGGGGGGCAGTGGAGTGGTGGTGGGGGGGGTGAGGAATCAGATGAGACCCACAGCTTCGTCTTAAGCCACCGACGGCCGCGAAGCAACGGGGGAGGAAATCGCCACCGAACGAAGGAAACACACCGACGAAACAAACTCGCGCCTCCAATCGAGCACTGAACAGAACGTGGAGCTAGCGATGACCACGGAGCTGGGAGTGCCCTCCACCCCGCGCCGTTGCGCACGCACGCGCGCGTGTGCGTCTCAGCCGTGCGGATGGTGATGGTGGTCATACTCCCCGAACATCGCGTGGATGTCTCCGGCCCCGGCACCCACCAGCAGGCGGTCGTGACGCGCTGTCGCCCTCGCACGCACGCCCTCGTAAGCGCAGAAGTGCTCTCCTTGCGGCCCGTACCGCTCATACGCCGCGCCGGGACCCGTGCCCTGGCCCGCCTGCTTACAGCCAGCGGGGCCCACTGCTCCCCCGCCCCCACCGCCCCCACCTCCTGCTGCTCCCCCTCCTCCTCCTCCTCCACCACCGCCGCCGCCGCCGTGCGCCCCCTGGTAGCCGGAGCCCCGAACCCCGAAGTGCCCGTACCCTCCCCGCTCGTAATCCGCCTGCACGGACGCGTGCGCCGCTGCCGCCGCGGCCGCTGCCGCCGCAGCCGCTGCCGTGGCGGCCTCGTGCTTGAAGGCGAAGTTCCCGTTCAGGCCGTAGTGGTGGGGCGGACTGCCCGGCGCCTCGAAGGGCGGACTCGTGCACTCCGAGACGCCCGTGTCGAAGTACTGGTCTATGGCGCTGCTGAAGTAGGCTTGCGCCTTGCCCGCCTGCAACAGGTACGGGCCCTCGGCCGCCGAACTGTACGGAGGGCTCATGGCACCCAGTCCCGCCGGAGGGTAGCCGTAGGCGAGCGCGGCGGGCGCGTAGGGCACGTGCGCAAAGTCCACGCTCTGCTCGGGCAGGAAAGTGCGCGGGTTGAGCTGCAGGCAGCCCGCCACCAGGTTGGCTGTGGGCTGCGACAAACCTTTGCAGAGGGTCTGCACAAAGCTCAGCAGGTCGGGGCTCTGGTTGGAGCGCAGGATCTCCGAGAGCGCCCAGATGTAGTTCTTGGCGAGGCGCAGCGTCTCGATCTTGGACAGCTTCTGCGTCTTGGAGTAGCAGGGCACCACCTTGCGCAGGTTGTCGAGCGCCGCGTTCAGTCCGTGCATGCGGTTCCGCTCGCGCGCGTTCGCCTTCATCCGGCGCACACGCACGCGCTCCACGCGCGCCTTGGTCGGCTTCTTCTTGCGCGGGCCGCGCCGCCTCGCCTTGCGCTCAACCTCCTCCTCCTCTTCCATCGTCATCTCCTCCTCCTCCTCCATCTCCTCCTCGTCCTCGATGTCTTCGTCGTCTAGGTCGTCTAGGTCGTTGTCGTCGATTGGACCTTCGCCCGCTCCTGCGCCGCGTCCTGTGGCCTCTACCCCGGCAGCCGCCGCCGCCGCGGCTGCCGCAGCGGCCGCCGCGGCCGCCGCGATGTTTGTAGGCTCGTGGAGGTCCGGTCGCGAGTCGCGCAGCCCCAGCTGCCTATGCGAGGAGGAAGACGAGGAGGTGGTGCAGGAGTGTGGAGGCGCCTCGCCGTCGCTGCTGCCGCAGGCGTCCTCGTCGGCCGTGGCGAGAGCCAGACTCACGGCTCGCAGCTGCTGGCTCATGGCCTCGGCTCCAGCGTAGAGCTTCGTGAACATGGTGGTGGTGGTGGTGGTTTCCTGCGAGCGGTCACGGATGAACGGGTCGCGATCGGGTCACGGGCGGGTCACATGCACTTAAGATAATGCTGGTGATGGTGGTGGTGATAATTATGATGGTGGTTATGATGATGATGGCAATTGAGACGTGGGGCTGGGTATCCAACCCAGGTGGCCGGACTTGTAGCGCTGTGCACACGCGGACAAAACACACGCATACACACACACGCATATGCCACATACACACGAATACATAACCACATTAACACGCATGATGAAGACACAGATCCCCCGTATAGCCTTAACATACTTCTGGGCCAAGTGATGTTAGCGAGCACCTATTAAGGCCGGAACGAGACACAAGGGGTGGGGTGGCCAGCACCACGCCCGGCCGCCTGTGTCTTCCCCAGTGGCGATATTTACACCCACACACACACACACACGTACCAACACACAGACATACATACCCAAATTATCAGACGGTTGGTGCAAGTGGTGCTAGCAAGCACCGACCAAGGCGTGCACGGCGCACGAGGCGGTGGTGGGGGTACCGGGTTACTCATTCAAGGCGAACTCGCAAACGTCCAGGGGCTGGCTCAGATATCACTCGCCAACGCTGTTAGTCGTAGCCGGGAGTGGAACTCAGGCGGGCAGTTTCGTAGCGTAGTGAGGCGTATCGCTATTCCACCGCTCCCATACAAAGACAAATGTCCCCCACATACCCAGAACAGATTTTGGGGGCAAGTGCTATTTTTGAGCGCGTATGAATGCCTGCACGGCACACGAGGGGGTGGGTGGCCAACACCACGCCCGGCCGCCTTTGTATCCCGAGTGGTGATGCTGGCACATCGCACTAGGTACTCATTTGAGGCTGAGTCGACCTCGGGGAGGCCCATGACCGCTTTAGAAAATCGTCGCTGGAGTTGGCCGCTCATACACACACAGACACACACACATACATACACACAGATACACGCACATACACACAGACACACGCACATACACAGAGACACACACAGATACACGCGCATACACACAGACAGACGCACATACACACAGACACACGCACATACACACAGACACACGCACATACACACAGACACACGCACATACACACAGACACACGCACATACACACAGACACACGCACACACACATACACACAGACACACGCACATACATACAGACACACACACAGACACACGTACATACACACAGACACACGCACATATACGACCTTCGTGGAGATGGAACATCAAAACGGGTCGCAGGGACTGATGGGATATGCGCTCGGGAGAAAAGGCGTGGAAAGGTCTTCAAGCAGCTGTGCATGATGATGATGTTATCTATTTTCATTATATATAGCATCCCACCTGCTTATTAGAATAGTAATGATAACACGAATAACCACGTCCTGTGTTAATCCAGGAAAGCGTCACTGAGCCTCAAAACTCATTGTTGTTGGTTCGTGTGAACCCAGTGAAAACCCCTAAGAGATCAGATAGGTTCACGATCCCACGTTTTTTTTATTGCCATCGCCTGGCCTACATAGCAGCTCATCGAATGGACACCACGTAGTTTTTTTAGAGTTCTATGAATCTCTGCGTGATCCACCAACCCTTGCCTAACCCAAAAGAAACAGAGACTTGTATTACGAACTAACGTTCCAGGCAATAGCCCATTTCCAGAGCAGAAAGAGAGAGAGAAGGTGGGTGGGGTACATTGAATTATTTGGCGGTACCTTGAAAACACCGACTGGCGTGTTTGCGTTATGGTCAAACAATCTGCATGGCCAACACGGCATGAGAAGGCCTTCATCCAGCAAGTGGATCGACCAAAGGGCTGGGCATCACATTCGCGTCGCTAATTAAAAGGCGTGCTGGCGACAATTAATTTCTTGACTTGAGCCCTCCTCTGAGTAAGAGGGCCCCCGCCCCCTGTTAACGTGAACGATGCATTGATCCCCACGCACCAAATGTGGAAGTCAAAACGAGTATCTACTTGGTTCTTTCGGTAAAGTCACGTAGAAGGGAAATAATAAAATAAGATAAATAAATAAAAAACATAATAAAATTATTCTCACGACGTTTCGGCCACACTGTCTTTCCGACAGACCTGTTCTTCACCTGAGGACGGCTGCTTGCGTTGTGGCCGAAATGTCGTGAGAATTATTTTATTATGTTTTTTTATTTTATTTCTTAATTTTATTTTATCATTTCCCTTCTACGTGACTTTACCGAAAGAACCAAGAAGATGAATCCCTGCAGTCACGAAAGCTTTAAATCGAAATTCAAAACGAGTATTCGACGCAATAAACAATTAACCGTCGCTAAACTACAACGTTGGGGGGGGGGGGATAATCACGAAAGCCTCGTCCGCGTGTACCAATCAGGGAGTGAACCACGTGCATTGCTACGAGACGCCGCGGCCTCTATGCCGCACACGAGAGCTGCCGTGTGTGTGTCTCGAGCATGTGGTGCATTATGGGAGTGGTGGTGTCGCAGCGACCTGAGCTCGCGTGGCTGACACTGGTGGTTTGAGTGAAACCTGGACCGGTCCCTCCTGCATGCACACGCACTGACCGGCGTGGTGAAGTATGGTCAAAACAAACCTTTCACGAGCGACACGGAACGGGGGGGGGGGAGGCGGCCTTTGCCCAGTAGAGGCTGGCCTGGTTGATCCGGAAGCCGGCTTTTCTCCAACAGTTTTTAGTTTATTTTCGCGAGTGAATTACAATTCTCTCGCGAGCTCCGCGAGAGACGACGCGGGCATTCCGGCGTGGCACACAGAAAAACAAACTTTTGAGCTCGCTCTGTGACAAAGTCAACGTCTCCAGTTGGAGCCACATTTAACACAAACAAAACAAACAACACAACAACAGGGAGGGCGACACGGCGGCGATAGTGTCCCTCCGCTTTGAACTCAACCCTCGTTTAAGAAAATAAAACATCTGAACATGTTATGTATACCGGAGGAATCCGATGAGCTATGAAGCTCTTTTTTTCCACAGATGTCCAGTAGTTACGCGAAAGCAGATAAGCAGATAAGTTAATTAAAGTGACGCATGGCCTTGACAAGAGAGCGCCTAGACTCTGTATTGTGGTGGCGTGTCGGCTCGTATTCCCTCGCCCAGTAACGCCCTGCGGTTTTTCGCGTCGCCCCTACGCGGTCGCCCATTGACGTCGCTCATTTCGTGATTAACGCAAAGCCGCGATGCAGCAGAGGGGGGGGGGGGGCGCCTGCATTTGGAGACTTGACGAGGGAGCGCGAATGACGCCACGCGCGGGATCGGGTTCTACTGGCGCTCGGTTCAATCGGGGGGGCTTGACCAACGTTGAAGGAAAATAATAAAATAATAAATAATACAACATAATAAAATACAATTCTCACGACGTTTCGGTCACAACGCAAACAGCCGTCCTCAGGTGAAGAATATGGCTGTCGGAAAGACAGCGTCTTTTCAGACGCTGTCTTTCCGACAGCCCTGTTCTTCCTTCTACGTGACTTTACCGAAAGAACCAAGAAGATGAATCCCTGCAGAAAGCTTTAAATCGAAATTTGACCCACGTTGTTGTGTTAAGCGCAGCAGCGGGGAAGGGGGGGCAGAGCAGTGGTTGGTGGTGGCGGTGATTGTGGTGGTGGTGGTGGTGATTCTGGTGGAAGGTGATGGTGAAAATGTAAATTATGGTAATTGTAATTTGCACTTATTAGGATGACGATGTTGATGCTGGTAATGATGGCGGTGGTGGTGCGAGTGAGATTGAAGGTAATTAGAATAATTGATGTGATGATAATGGTGAAAGTGGTGGTGTTGGTGAGAATGGAGATACTCATAATTGCACTTATTAGGATAACGATGTTGATGATGGTAACGAGAATGATGATGGTGGTGGTGGTTCTGGTGAGACTGGAGATGATGGTTATGACAGTGGTGGTGATCGTGGGGATGATGATAATGATGATGAGAGTGGTGGTGCGGGTGAGATTGAAGATGATGATGATGAGAGTGGTGGTGGTCGTGGTGGCGGTGGTGGTGGTGGTAGAGAGAGACATTGCGACTGCGCACTAACACCGGACATACCGACTCTGACTCGAAACCCCGATTCGACTGGGCAACGTCTCACGACTCAAGAGCAGGGACATGATGTAGCGTTCACGATAATAAGACATCATCATCGTCATCCACTCTCATTGGTGTACAGCGTGGTCCAGATGTCTTGTAACCCCGAATTAATTGACACCTGACATATATTCCTTTTTGTTACAAAAAAAACCTAACTTGCAAAAATATTAAATTTTACAGAATTAAACGGGCGTCACAAGACATCTGGACCAACATGCCCATTACCATGACCGCCACTCACATGCACGGACGCTAATTTGGAGCGCAATTTTTTGCCGGACTCTGACATTGCTTGTACCGCATTGACCCGCGGTTTCTTTTTTAAACCCAAGATACCGGAACACACCGCGACTCCACTGGACATGTCCACTGCGCGCTGCAGGCGTCGCGCTTCGATCAAAACCTCGATATCTATCGACTCTCGACATGGAGATGCGGGGGATCGAACCGCCGCTTAGCCGACCGCCCTCCGTGGGGGGGGGGGGGGGGGGGAATCGCCGCGTAGCTTTGTGCGGCCTTGAAATCAGCGGGCAGCAATTGCACGGCGTGCGACCCTCACTCGACTCTACGCCCCCCCCCCCATCCCTCGTGTTTAAACACCCTGTGGTTGGCGCTGTCCCTTCTCACCCCGAGGGAGCGAGCAGTTCGTTCTTTGCCCAGGTAGATTAATATCGACATATTCGAAAACCATTCCGAGACGTGGAATTTCCAATGATACAACGGACGGACGCATACGCGTGTACAAGCATGAAAATTCCCCCCCCCCCCGTATTTGCTGTTCGCGGGCACCTATAACAGGCCGGCAACGGTGGGTGGTCAGCACCACGCCCAGCCGCCTTTGTCTCCCCAGTGGCGATGTTTACACGCCGCACCGGGTACACATTTGAGGCTGAGTCGACCTTGGCCGGGAAGTGAACTTGTACCGCCGGGTCCGTAGCGCAGCGCGCAAGCGGCTGCTGCGCCGCTGCTCTCCACGTACACAACGTAGACGCAAAGACAAAGGTCCCCCGTATAGCTTCAAACGGCCATTGGAGCAAAGTGCTGTTAGCGAGCACCTCCGAGGGCAGGCACGGCGGTGGGTGGGCCAACACCACCACGCCCGGCCGCCTTTGTTCAGGCCAGTGCTGATGTTTTATTCACACCACGCCGGGGGTCAACCTGAGGACCAAACATTCGCCACTGCGATCGGTCGTGAGCGGGAACCAAACTGGATGTTTGCCGTATTGTAGTGTGCTCACCACGGCAGTACCGCTCCCCACGTGTATATATACACACACATAGATCCCCCGTATAGCCTTATCAGACTTTAGGGGCAAGAGCTATTCGCGAGCACCTATGTAAGCCCGAACTGAACACGTGCGGGTGGGTGGCCAGCACCACGCCCGGCCGCCTTTGTCTCCCGAGATGCGATGTTTACACACGCACCAGGTACTCATTTGAGGCTGAGTCGACCTAGGGTAGACTCAGGACCGGTTCACATAATCGTCAATGGTGTTGGCCGCGAGCGGGAATCTAACTCGGGTCGCAGGAGTTTGGATCGCAGTGTGCTAAAAGCAACACCACCGCTCCCCGCATATAGAACAAACAAAGACAAAGATCCCCCGTATAGCCTTAACAGACTGTTGTGGAAAGTGCTGTTTAGCGATTGCATACACAGATTGGCACGGCACACGCCCGGCCGCCTTTGTCTCTCCAGTGGCGATGTTTACACACCTCACCAGGTAAGCATTTGAGGCTGAGTCGACCTAGGGGAGGCCCAGTACCGGTTCAGATAATCGTCATTGGTGTTGGCCGTGAGCGGGAATCGAACTCGGGTCGCCAGGTTCGTAGCGCAACGCGCAAACCGCTACACCACCGCTCCCCACATACACACACTCAAACGTGTGCACACACACACATATATATAGACACGTATCGCAACGCTTTGGAAAAATGCGTCCGGGAGCACCACCTCGGCTCTCCGGCGTAGATTTAGCGCAGCGTCAGGCCCTACCTGATGCGCAAGTGCCGGTTGTCATACCCCCCCCCCCCCATCCATCCCCTATCGGAGTCCTGGCTCCCCCCCCCCCCTCCCTCCCCCCCAACACTCACACCAAAGTACAGCTCTAAATAGAAGCCGCATTAGATAGCGCTTAACAATGTCGTAATTAAATTTCGGAGCGCGCAACAGAATATGTACTCAATTTGCTCTCACCCTAAGGATAGACGACATATTATGCAAATAAAGAGGGGTTATTAAACATTAAAGAGCGCCTCCAATCGCCGCGATGGGGCGCGGCGCAAGTCGCTGGCGGCCAGACCGAGCGCCGGCGACTCAACACGCGCCGCTCGACGCTCGAGGAAGAGGAGGAGGCGACGAGGAAGGATTTTGTGACCTTTGTTTTGTTTGTTAAAGCGCGCAAACTAGAGCGTCGTTTTCGCAAGCGTCGTCGAGTCCTGAAAATGCGACGCACGCACGGGAGGTTGTACGTCGCGAGGCGACTTTCCCCCAGAGAGACACAGCCGGTCCAGATCACGCGGGCCGGTTGCGTGGCCATGTGTCACACTCGCGCGCGCGCGCACGCCCCACACTCGCCCTATTAACGAGATCCGTACACGCGAGCGTGATTAATTTTCGCTCTAACGTCAACGTCAACAACAACAACAACACAAACAAACCAAAACCCCCGCTTCGTTCCCTGATCTACACTTACACCGCGAGTACAGCGCGCAAAAATGTTCCTTATTTATTTCAAATAAATCCCACTCCCTACCCAGCCAATAACAACGACAACGACAACATAACATACTCGGACACGAGCACCGACCCCCATGTCCTCTCGTCCGCTGCGGCTCGCGTCCAGCGATGTGGCTGGCGCACGGCCGCTCGGCGTGGATCGGGGTTCTTAATCGCGCCGAGCGTATGCAGAGGCGCGCCCGCTCCTCACTCCCTCTCTCTCTCTCTCTGCGGGGCACCCGCACGCAAGCGTGCTAATAGCCGGGCATCAGGTGCATATTCATTTCTTCTAATAAAACAGCCAGCGTGGGGAATACCTTGGGCTGCAGGCTGGACCGCAGCCCGGGCGAGAGAGCACCGGGCGGCCGCGGAGGGGGGGGGGCGTGTTTACGGGACTCGTAAAAAAAATGAAATAAGAAGAAAAGGAGGAGGAGGAGGAGCGCGCGAACTCGAATGGTTCCGCGAGCGGTTCGCGAACCACTCTTGGTTTAGGCGAAGCGAGGACCAAGGTTCCAACTCAACACACACGGCGTGGCGCGGCGCGTGTGTGGAGTTGGTGCCTTGGTGCTTTGGTGTCAAGAAAACGCTCAGTGCGGGTTGGTTACGTTGTCTGAGTCAGGAAGCGGAGCCGAAACGTCGATACAATTATTGTATTTTTCTTTCATTCTTTCCGGAATTAAAATAATTATTTTGATATTTTCACTCGCGCTGTTTCATTTTTATTCGCACCGTTTCTTCAGCTTTAAAACTGCGATATCGTAATTGTCGATGTGAATACAACAATTACAGCAGTAACGGCGAAAGTCAAGTACGTGCGATAAGTGACGATACACAACAGAATCCATCTCTGTGACTGCACGATCACATATAATAAAAATAAACATCACGACAACAACAAAAATGCTGAGGATGATCGTGATACCGGCCTGATTCTGGTCACGGCGCTTTAATATTTTACGCAGGCAAATTTCACAGCAAGGGGCTATTTTGTCAACATTTCTCAACATTGGACGTTCACCTCCAATGAGGGGATTTGATATTTGTCGACGAGGCTACGGGCGCGTGTAACAAATCACGAATAACCTCACCCCCCCCCTCCCTCCTCCCTCCCTCCGTCCCTCGCACCTTCCCCGCGTGACGAACAATTAATTAGTCGACTAATTTGTGCGGAAAGTGTTCGGGTGCGAAAAGAAAAAAAACATTATTTGGCAGAACCGCACACGGAATCGCTTATTGAAAAACAAACCTGGATTGGACCCCAATTCTCTGTGCAGACGACGCCACGTTGACGGTCCCGTCTCACGTGAGCCGCCTTGCAGGATGAAGGAAGGCACTTTCAGAACCCTGGACGGGAGGAGAGAGAGACACACGGCGACGCGCGGAGTCACAGTCACGCGTTCGGGGGAGGGGGGGCGGTGTGGGGGCGACTGGTCGCCTGGTCTCCTCGACAAGCAGGGGACACGGGGACTTGGTCGAACGCCCCCGCTGCATTAAGACGCGTCGGCCGCGTTTATGATGAAGAAGAAGAAGACGAAGCCTCGGATCACACATGGATCGCGGGACGGTGCCTTCTCCATTCGTCGAGTTGGGACTGCGCGGCGGAGGTCGCCTTTGAGGTCTAAGACGCCGACGCGCGCCACGCGCCCGAACAATTAGCGCGACGTGCACGTTTTTTACGCACACGCAATTGCATTGGCGGCGCATGATGAATTCTACGCGAATGAACGACAGCAGCTCGCGGTGCCCGCATCGGAGCGCGTTGTCCGCGTCCGGGCAGCGGAGCCCCCTTCTTACCCAAGTTGCTTGGCTCAGAGCGCGCTCATACTTTGCTCGGGCCGCGTGTCTCCGCGCGTCTCCGTGTTCCGTCTGCGAATGGCGCCGCCGAACCCGGAGCGGCGCGAGAGCTCGGAGGAGGGAGCTCCCGTGTCAGCTCTTCCCGTACGTGAGCACCGCTCCTCCGCCACCCTTCCTCTCCCTCTCTCTCCCCCTCCTCTTACGCGGCTCCCACTCTCTCCCGCTCCCTCCCTCCCTCCCACCCTCCAATCCAGCCCTACCCCTTCTCCTCCACCCCCATCTCCCCCCCCCCACCCCACAAACTGGCACCAACTACAGCGATGCCAACGCCGCTCATGCCACGGCGCGTGCCATATGGGGCTGACGTCAAGAGCTGACGCGTGCGGGGCACGTGACTGACGCACGAACGCACACGTTTGCGTGCCCCCCCCCCTCCCTGACCCCCACACCACTCCGCCCCTTTCTCTCTCGCTCCCATTCACATGCACACCTTTACGAGGACCTCCCTCCCGTCATCCTCTCAAATTCTTGTCTTCTACACACGTACACACACTTCATCCCATTCTCTCTGTAACACACACGCACACACACGGACATCTATCTGTGCATTTCCATCACTCCCCCCCCCATTCCATGCCACCACACTCGCCCCCCCCCCCTTCTCCCCACCCCTCCCCACCCCTCCCCACATGTATATCTCTCCCAATCTACGCACTTGTTTATAATTATTCGTGTCGCGCGCGGGCTCGTGTTCGGATGCGCGCACGCGCCCTCTCTCCCTCCCTCCCTCCCTCTCTGCCTCTCCCCCGCATCTCCCTCCCTCCCTCGCTCGCTCCCTCTCCCTCTCACGCTCTCGCGCTCGCGATCCCCTGGGCGCGCGCGTGCCCATCTGCCGCTCGCGCCAAAAACTCGCAGACCTGCTTTCTACTCCTCGGACCCGCGGGGGGGGGTGGGGGGCGGCGGCGGGGGGGGTAGGAGGAGGTAGAGGAGGAGCGCGCGCACTGGCAAGCTACCTGCGCGCGCAGCGATCACCATCACGATTATCCCGCACCCCCGACGAGATGTCTCTGCATCCTACAGAGAACGCTCGGGCGTTAGGCAACACGCACGCAACCGACGCATACGCGCGTGCACGCATGCGTGTGCACATATGCACACACACACACATGCGTGCGTTTCTTGCACATGAACGCACGCGCGCGCACGACAAATGTATTCCACCAGACTAAATGTATGATCGGGATGAGAGGTCCCGGGAGAAGGTGAGCTTTTGCGGGTTATTGTTCACCTGCGCGCGACAAGGCGATGTGCGCGCGCGTGCACGTGAGTGCCGTTTGCCGTGTGCGTAAATCGATGACATCTGGGTCTGCCCCGCAACGCTTCCGCCTCTCTGGCACGCTTCTTCAGAGCGCACCTAGCGTGGCACGGGGCGCAGCAGGAGCGACGCCACCGCCACTTAGTGGCCAATCGCGGATGAAGTTGGTGCTTCCGTGTGTGTGTGTGTCACTACGCGCTCGTGTGTGTGTGTATGTATGGTGAGCGGTGGCGCAGTGGTTAGCGCGCTGCGCTACGAGCCCGACGACCCGGGTTAGATTCCTGCTCACGGCCAACACCAGTGACGATTATCTGAACCGGTGCTGGGTTTCCCCTAGGTCGACTCAGCCTTAAAACTAGCACCTAGTGCGAGGTCTACAAATCATCACCGGGGCGACAAAAGCGACTGGGCGTGGTGCTCATGCCACACCGGCGACCCCTGCGCGCGCCGTGGCGGCCTTCATGGGTGCTGCTGCCCCGCTTGCAGCAAATGCCCCATCAGTCTGTTAAAGGCTCAACGGGAGATCGACATCGTTGTGTGTGTGTGTGTTGTTTGGCAAGGCCAGGACTGTGCCTTGGGCTGCTTCATCGGGGGGAGTAAGGCGGAGAGTTGGGGATAGAGGGGGGATTGGGGAGCGGGGAGGGAGGGGAGGTGGTGGCGAAGGGAGGGTGAGAGAGATGAACAACACACACACCCACATCTACACACACACACATTTACACACACATACATCTACACACACACATACATCCACGCACACATCTACATCTACACACACATCTACATCTACACACACATCTACACACAGACACATCTACACACACACACATCTACACACACACACATCTACACACACACATCTACACACACATCTACACACACACACGTCTACACACACACACGATGATACACATGCACACACACTTATAAAAAATATATATACGGACATACACACAAGCACAAACATCACCCGTATAGCCTTAACGAATATTAGTGGCAAGTGCTGTTTAGCGATTGCATACACAGATTGGCACGGCACACGCCCGGCCGCCTTTGTCTCCCAAGTGGCGATGTTCACACACCGCACCAGGTAAGCATCTGAGGCTAAGTCGCAGGACCGGTTGAGATTATCGTCACTGGTTGTCGGCCGTGAGCTGGAATAGAACTCGGGTCGCCGGGTTCATAGCGCTCACACACACACGCACACACACAAAGATAAAGATCCCCCGTATAGCCTTAACAGACTGTAGGGGCAAGTGCTGTTAGCGAGCACCTATGAAGGCCGGAACGGTACACGAGGGGGTGGGTGGCCAGCACCACGCCCGACCGCCTTTGTCTCCCTAGTGGCAATGTTTACACACCGCACCAGGTACTCATCTGAGGCTGAGTCAACCTAGGGGAGGCCCAGGACCGGTTCAGATAATCGTCACTGGTGTTAGCCGTGAGCGGGAATCGAACCGGGGTCGCCAGGTTCATAGCGCAGCGCGCTAACCGCTACACTACCACTCCCCACACACACACACACGCACACACACACGCACACACGCACGCACACACACGCACGCTCACACACGCACACACACACACGCACGCTCACATACGCACGCAAGCTCACACACGCACGCACGCACACACACACACGCTCACACACGCTCACACACGCACACACACGCACACCCACACACGCGTACTTTCTGATAGGGACACACACAGGCCGCTGCTGAAACCTCCCCACGTCCGCGAGGAGTGACGGGGGCGCGCGAGTGACGGGCATTAACGCGCGCCTCTGCCGTGTCGGGAAACAGCGCCAGATGTTCTTGTCAGAGAGAGAGATTCGGTCGTGAACGAGCGAATATTCGAACTCTGCCCTCCGCTCCCATCCGCAGCACAGCCCCCCCCCCCCATCCTCGGGGGCGGGGGGGGAGCGCTGGGGGGGGGGGGCAAGAGTCGCGTGCTGCCAATCGCTTCCCCGCTCGTTCCGCGAGGTGTCCGCAGATCGCGTAACGCGCGGGCTGTCGGCCCTGGTGGAGATGCGAGAAGGGCGCAATGCCTCTTGTTTTGTTTGCACGCTCTCTCTCTCACGCCGTCTCGTTTCACCGATTAACCTCGAGACGTAGCGCCACTGCTGCTGCTGCTGGAGCCGGTGGCGCAGTGGCGGTTTAACTCACTGCGCCGTGAAGTCGGCCCGTCTGGGTTAGATTCCAGGCGGCGGTGGTCAGTTGGCGAGTAATGTCTGAGCCCCGTTCTGTGCCCTCCCCCGACTTACCTTCTCGTTCAGAAACCACGCACTTACCAACGTGGTGGTTTTGTTAGTTGAATTCTGTTCACTGGGGGTTGGGGCCCATTGAGCTCAATCGCTTCTAAATCCACGGCGACCCCGGTGGTTCCCGTTGCATGCGCCTCTCCGCGATCCACTTATTTTGGCACTTTCCATCTCCCGTTCCACTTTGATGCTCGACGTCGCTGCTGCGTCTCGGCCCGGACGTCGCGCGCTGCGGAACGCGCGCTGATCGGAAACTTTCTTCGACGCGCAAAGTTGCCGTGCATCTGCTCGATCGGTCTGCGCCAGGGGCGCGCACGATCGACGATGAGAGGCAGCGCGGACGCGACGCACGCGTGAACGCGCGCGCACGCGTGCGCAGGCCTGAATATCGGGCAGTTTGTTTGTCCCAAGGAGCAACGCGGCCTCGAACATCGGTGCGCCGCTTCTAAACTCGGGTGCGCACGTCGATTGCACTGCTATGGTTAGATGCGCGATTATTACGACGCGGATTAGGGCATCAAGGTATGCCGGGGTTCTTAATAGGAGCGCGATTGGGTACGTGAAACCCCACTCTTTATTTATGGGTTTTAATACTTGGTGACCTATTTAGGCGGCATTACACACGCCGTGCAATACAATCTGGATTTACATCGCGGCTGAATATGACCGCGTTTCATAACTTATTTCCAAAACCGTGGACTTTTGATTTCATAGAGATATTGGTCTCGATGTGAGGCTATGGGCCTCTATACGGGTCTCTGTGTAGATATATGGGTCTCGGTGTGGGTATGTGGGTCTCTATGTGAGTGTATGTGTCTCGATGTAGGCATATGAGTCTCTATAAAAGTCGTTGGGTCTCTATATTATACAATGTGGGTCTATATGGCATGTCATTGCAACCGCATCTCAAAAAGTCGTACGACATATAACAGGCGACGTTTCGTTCAGTGGCCCTTCTTTATAGCGCCATTAAGTTTGCAGTATCAGCAAGTGAGTTGTGCTGGAACTTAATACTAAAACTAAACTATTTTATTGTTTTACTGGGTAAGGCCCACTGAGTAATAGTGCTCTTTTTCAGATGCCACCTGGCCACAAATGATAGCTCAACGAAGTGGCTCATCACGTGGACATTTAAAGCAGCTACATACTTTAAACGCATGTTACTAAATGTAGAGGGAAAAACCGGTGGGCCCGAGAAAAATCCACGCGACAACGGGGAGAACGTGCAAACTCCAAATATACAGCGGACGTCAGAGTAGGGATATAACTCACGAACCTCCTGCATACCAGGCGACGTAGTTGACATCTCGCCAGCGTGGCGCCCAGGGGCAGGGAGAGGACAACACGGTTGTCTGGGGGGAGATAAGTTGTAGGCACGCACTGGCACGGGCATGCAGACACGCGCCACTCACCACGTGCGGACACGCATACATCGTGTTTGAAAATACATCGTGCATATATATGTATGACAAGTTCTACACACACGTATTTAGAGATATGCATATGTACATAATCATACATCCATAATATTACACATACTGTACATATGGGGTGGCACGCGTAATAGTGCAGACATACAATCACATTATGAC